GGTAGTATTTTTGAATTGTCATGCATCCCGCCCTCATTTTCCCCTGAGATGGGAAATCTTCGTATTTCTAAGTCTGAAAAGGAGCTTCAAGTGATGCAAAATGGTCGATTTTTGCGTCACTGGAACGTTAACTGCTGTTGCAGTTAACGGTGTGAAACTACAATGCTAGTTCCTCATATTTTCAACCACTGAAACTACAGATCAATCACAGATCAGTGGGTGGGAACTCGCTCCCAGAATGGAAACTTAACGTCCGCCATATTGCTTGGAAGTTATGCTAACAGGCTCTATGGAGAAAGCTGATAATGGAGAAAAAATATACATATAGCGGCCTGTCGGCAGCAACTGTCTCAGGGCTATATTGCTGGCCGCCTGCCTGTCTGCGGCTGTGAGGACGAGGAGCCGGGGCCGGCTCGAGCTGGGGCGGACTGGTAGTGTCGATGCTCTCACTGTTTGGCTATGGACACAGACATAGAGTCTAGTGATGTGTCGGTCATGAACGATTCGTTCAAAATGAACGAATCATCTGGGTGAACGAACTGAACTGAATCACTTACTGAAAAGAGTCGTTCATTTCTCAACTTCAGTTGCGCTCTCCTCTCTCCCGTCTCGTGTCTCTCTCACCAGACCGTAAGAGTCGCTCAAATCCCGCCCTCCCTCTCTCTTTCATGTCAGTGATACGTACTGACTGAACCAACAGGACGGAGTCGGTCGGGAGCTCTGTGTCGCTAAAGCTCGCCCCTACTTCTCCCTCTCATGTCTCCAAAATTGAGGAAGTAGAAAATATATTATTTAACATTTAGGTGTCGCGAAAATGTTTCTGCTTTTTATAGCTGCTGTCAGTTTGCAAACGGCTTTTATATCCAACTTAATTTCACTCAGCTGACTGTTTTAACATCTACTAACAATCATGTTTCAGTCAGTACAGTGTGTGTGTGACTGAGGCTGGTGACTCGCAGTCTCGCTCCTTCACGTTCACTGAACGAACTGAACGAGTGCTCCGACGTGAATCACTGAACGAACTAAGAGGAGGAGCGGAGCTCTCGTTCAGTGAACGAACTGAACGAGAGCTCCGCTTCCAAGTCTCTCTCTTCCTCTCAGTCAGACAGTTAGTGAGTGATTTGTGTACTGAACGTATTGAACAGAACGGTCGGGGAAAATAAATGTAATTGTTTTAGCAGCTTTCAGTTTACAAACTGTAGCTTTATCCAACTAAATTCTCAGCTCATAGGTTTATTATTCACCACCGGCTGTTCTCAGTACGATCGCGAGCAGAAATAAACGTTCGGCCGTTTTTCAGCTTACTAAATTCCGATTCCGTGAACGAATCTTTTGAACGAATCACTTTACTGAACTGATTCTACTGATTCAGTACACTGAAAAGAATTGCTTTTCACATCATAGAGTCTGTTTTCTGCCAGGAATTTCCAGGATGATAATTCCTTCTGGAAGAAATCTCTGAATCAGTTGAGGAAATGGCCTTATGTGTTAAAGTAAACATGTCTGTAAACCTGACCTTAGTGGGAGTGGCCTGCCGTGCTGTGCATTCTGGGATTTGGTGTCTCTCATCCACACGAGCCAAAAAGACACTTTCTGCCTTTTCTCGGTCAAGAAGGCACCAACTTCAAAATGTATTTCACATTTATACTACATATATGACCCAATGTCAACACAGATTCATGTTTCAACTGGTGAAGTATCCCTTTAATGACCCATACTGGTATGAGTTAAAGTTTCATAATATTCAATACACATCCAGTCATCCACTCTTAAATCATGCCCTTTACATAAAATAGTTTCTGTTCTTTGAATTATATTGAATTATTTTTTTCCTTGTAGGAAAATGAATCCTATGTATTGAGAATTTAACTAAAATGTTAGAAGAGGAATTATTGTTGCACCACTTTGTAATGGTATTTGTCGCCCTCTTGTGGTTAAAATGTGGACTATCTTTAAAAAAAAATACACACAGGAGAGCCCAATATCGAGAAAGCCCTCTATTCATATAAATGTAATATTACTTTTCAATGTAGCACAGATTCTGGAGGATTCCTTGAGAAACTATTATCATCAATAAATACATGAGACACAAACCCTTACTGATATTATATTGATCCTTTATTATATCTGGGGCGGCAGTAGCTCAGTCTCAAAGGATTTGGGCACTTCCTGAGTACTGCCAATGTGCCCTTGAGTAAGGCACTGAACCCTCAACAGCTCAGGAGGGCTTCCTAGTATTCCCACTCTGACATCTCTCCATTAATGCATGTACACAGTTTCTGTGCGTGTGTGTATTTTGGACCTGTGTGTGTGAGTAGCATGTCTCTCAATAACAGAGTGTGATCTAGAATTTCCCCTTGGGATTGATAAAGTATATAAAATGACTAAATGAAATAACATGTTTTTATGGTAGTTATTACATTTATGGCATGACTTAATACAGCCAGAGATATGTCATGTTATAATAATATATATCTGACAGTATAAAAGGTGTATATATCTTCATAGTGCCTATGTATTCCCTGCTTAACTACCACTTTGGTGATGCCTTTTGAGTGTTTATCTTAACACACAGTATGTACTGGTACAACAGTCTATAACAATGATGAACTGAAAATCTAGGAAAGTTCACAAGCTTTATGAGTAAGTGAAATCTTTAAATACATGTGCAAGTAAAACTACTGAAGGAGGCTTGTTCCAAATTTCTATTCATAAAAATGTTCGGCCTCCAAGTCCCACCAGGCTTTTCCTTATATAATACCAGAGTATCATGTCTGCAGTAGAGGGGTTGCAATGTATTTTCCAGAACAGCTTTTGTTGATAAATGGACAAATGATGCAGCTGTTTTTCGGTTCTTACTTAACAACATTTGGCTGCACTGAAGTTAGAATTCGACTTTAAAGGAAGGGTAACTTTATTGGTTTGGAATGTTACGTCTCCACCTTTCATCATTTCTGATTCAAACATGGAAAACTTATAAATTCGGCTTAACAGCCTACTCTGAAACGTTATCCTGCAAATAAGAAATAATATAAATTGCCTACATGTAAAAGCCTGCTGTATTTGTCTCTTTTGCATTTGGTTGCATACTTTGAGCCTGAACACAAATATTTATACATTAGACAACACAGCTCTCCTTCACCCACTCCTCAGTCTGTCCATCATGGCCACCAGATGATCGAGAAGAGACTGAAGCAGCAAGCAGTGACACATTTAGCCCCAGGCTGGTTAACTCATCTGCCAGTCAGCTAGCACAGGCTTTATAAAACTTCTTCAACATATTTCTTCACTTTGAAAAACCAGAAACAGTGTACTCAAGTCTCCTGACCAACTGTGTAATAAAGTCTAGACTTGCAGGACTGACACATACTTGGTCGTGAATCATCAGGCAGCACATTTGCTACATCCTCTGAGGTATGCTGCCTTCCCACCTCATCAACTTCAATGGGATTTAATGTCCCCTGCAGATTTACGAGTATCAATACAATTCAATGTCTCATGTACTTACTAACAGACTGTCTGTCTCTGTCTAAATACAAAATGAGACTCAAAATTGTTTAGAAGATTTCGTAGTGAATTGTCCTGATTTTGTTATGTTTTTATGTACCTTTAACGAGGTAAAATATATTTATGAGAAACCAAACCTAACCAAACCAAACCAATCTAAACCTAACCCAACCCAACCCAACCCAACCCTAATATAAATCAATCCAAACCAAACCAAACCAAACTCAACCAAATCAAATCAAACTAAACTAAACTAAAATAAACTAAACTAAACTAAACTAAACCAAACCCCAAACTAAACTTTTGGGATATACTGTCCCACAATTTTCAATGCAGGGGAAGTTCTTGATGATTTGCATATTCAAGCTAACCATTTCCCACAAAAGCCAACTTCCACAACTGTAACTTAAGAATTAGCTAGAGAGTGTCAATTCAAGTAGCCTACAAAAGGTAAAAGGGGATCAATACAATGAACTCTGAACCTGCAGTAGCTTACTAAAGTTGAATTAATAGGTTTGTGATTGGGAACCAAAGGCAAATGGTCTAGACACAACCAAGCAAAGAAAAGTGTTTCTTCATTACTGATGTAAAGCATGTGTAAATAATGTAACTAGCCTATTATTATAGAGGTAAGTTACAGTTTATAAATCATTTATTGTAGAGAAAGGAGTAGGTCATACCCATAACTACGGAGCCCCTGTAGTCCAAAAAGTAAATAATAATTGTGGTGGAATTTCTGTAGTTATTTATGTAGTTATTATAATGTACAGATGTCACTAGATTTATTCACTGTTCTCTGATGTCAGTCAGACCGGACAGAGTTCAGTTGTTATTAGAACATCAAGTACAGCTTGGAGAGTGTCAACTGTTCTTCCTGATATCTGCAAGGATGTTTGGTAGACTTGCTGTCTGCTCCAGTGTTATAGACGTCACAGTTTAGTCTAGCTGGGTCAATGTGACATGACCCTGATGTCTTTTTGGATATATGCGATGCCTTTCGAAAAGTTCTGCAGATGTGACTGATGCGAGACACGAGTACAGAAGTGTGATGTTGAATCATGTCTCCTCGAGTATTCATCTGATGTATAAACTTTCATCAACGTAGGCCGTCTGAGTCAACTGAGTCTTATTGTATGGAGTCAAGTCTTAGTAATTTCTTCAACAATAATTAAAGAAATAAAACAAATATAGTGTGCACAAGGTCCATGATTTCTTCTGCACACAATATTTGTATATTTTGTCTTACTTTTTGTGACTTCAGGGGCTCTGTACATAATACTTTAGTGGATTTTTGTTTTTTTTAATCAAATTTTAAAGGCGCCTGATAATATCACGACCTCACTCTCTCTTACATGGCATACTGGGAAAAATCTCAATGTTTGAGCTGTATTAAAAAAGTGAAATGAACTACAACTCCCTTAAACCTCCCCAAAGAAACGTGTTGGTCACCGCATCATTTGATTGGACGGACTCAGTAAAGCTGTCTGTGATTGGCTGACGGGGGCCATGTCTGCATTGCCAGCTGTCTAGATGCAAAGCAGCTAACCGGTTAGCTGCCTGAGCTACATTTGCCTCTACATTTCGGGGTATAATCAACGAAACACCCCTCCACCCCGTTAACAACGGCGTATCGGGAGGTCGCAATGCCGGTTCACTCCCGGGAGAAGAAAGAAAGCAACCACGAAGAAATGGAGGTGGATTATCCCGAGCAGGACGGCAGCAGCACAGACGAGGAGGACACCGTCAGCTCGTCCGTGTCTGAAGATGGGGACAGCTCCGGTAGGGAAAAAAATGGGCCTCAAATATCAACCAGCAACTAAATTAATTGAATATGTCGTGCTGTCTGACCTAGTCTCATCATAGTTTGTGGGTGCTGTTGTAAAATAGGTGACATTTTGAGAAGGAAAGTTAGATCCAGCGGGGTGGAGATACTCTGATGTTGTGACGGGGGTAAGCAGTGGATACAGATGTGATGTCAAAGCTGTCATGTGTTCATGTGAACAGAGATGGATGATGAGGACTGTGAGAGGAGGAGGATGGAGTGTCTGGATGAGATGACCACCCTGGAGAAGCAGTTCACGGACTTGAAGGAGCAGTAAGTTCCTTCCCCCCCCATGTTGTGCACAACAAAGTAATGGCTTCACCTGCTGCTGTTTACTTCATCTCACTGCTTGTGATTGTGTTGCTCCAGGAGACAAAGCATCGCACTACACTTACACTGAGAGGAGCAGAGGTTCACCTGTCGGGGTCTTTTATTTGCAAGGATTTCATACCATTTTAATTAGACATTTTAGTCTGTTAGAATCAAACAAATCTGTCATTTATAAAACCCTTACTATTTCAATTAGAGGGAAGAAGACCACAGATTTGGTTGACAATAAGTGCGGGAATGAAACTTGTTTTTTTTCTTAGTGGATTATGCATCAACATTCTTATCAAAATGGTCTAAAATCTGGCTCCTCATTTCAGTTTGTGAGGACCATCATATCAAACTTAAGTATCCAAAAAGTCTCTTGTTGGAGTAATTTTTTTGAGACTGTTACCACCTCGTATATTATTATGAAAATGTTCTTTACAGGCTGCTTATTTGAAGAATTCTTGTCCCTCTCTGCTGCCTGTGCTGCAAAGTAGGGTAAACAATAGGTAAACATACGCTGACACGCTATAGGTGAAGTGTTCACGTGTCCGCTGGATAACAACCTCCACTGTACTACTCAGACTCCAGCCTCTTCACCACACAAAGTAACAATACAAAGTGATAAATGTCCTTCAGCCACCAGCACATTGCTTCTAAATATTGGATTTGGTGGTGGGATACATTGTTTCCTAACAGTAGTTTTGACATGAGACAGATTTTAATTAGAGGTACGTTTTTGAGTGGGGATGGTTTGTAAAAAGACATCTGCTACCCTCGCAGGTGTGTCAATAGACAGCCTCTTCCTGTGACATCACAGCATCTAGTTTTCAATAGTGACAATGTTCCTATTCTGCAGACAACAGCCCTTTGGAAAATCTGAAAGTGTACTTGTTAGTGTATCCTAACAATACACTTTCTAAAGATGCTTGATTTTGTATTTACGTTTCATTTAGTAGAAATGTTTTGAATTTTCTCATAAGATATTGTCAAAAGTCAATGTAACTGTTTTTCCGCTACAGATTGTATAAAGAGCGTCTGAGCCAGGTGGACATCAAGCTGCAGGAGGTGATGGCCGGCTGTGCCCAAGAGTACCTGGAGCCTTTAGCCAACCTGCAGGAGAACATGCAGATCAGGACCAAAGTTGCTGGTTGGTCAATTACTACAAGCTTTGCTATAAGATACCTAAATCTTAAAAAAAATATGTTACTAAACTAAATGCACTTCTTTGGAATCTGAAGGCTTACAGTTCAATATTCACAATCTCATCTCCCCTCTGATGGCTGCAGCAGACTGATTTCATGTTGAAATGTTTGTGACAGGAATCTACAGGGAGCTGTGTTTGGAGTCGGTGAAGAACAAGTATGAGTGTGAGATCCAGGCTGCCTGTCAACACTGGGAGGTGAGGGGTTAACATTTCAATTGGTTTACTGTGAGGGTGACGTTAGCATTTTACACATCATAATACATGTTTGATATTGAATGTTGGGAGGATGTTTTGGTTTGTGCCCTGGTATCCACTAGTGTTGTAGTACTCCAGATCAATCTTGGTCTCAAGTCCACTTTTTGAAGGTCTCAGTCTCGTCTCGAAATCAAACGCATCCTGACCCGGTCTTGTATTTGTATTTTAAATCAAGATTGGTCAAGACCACCACTGATTGGCTATTTTTTCCACACCATTACTGTGGTAAGAAGGAAAACTCCCCTTTCTAAAACAACAAATAACTTCAATTCATTTGTAGTTAGGATGTTTTGGTTACAGCTACAACATTTCCTGTGTCATGGTCTAAGTGAGTGACATGCCTGCTGCACACAAAATGATGATTTTTCATTGATATTAATGGTCTTGTCTCGGTCTCGTCCTGCCTCGGTCTTGGTCTTGACTCTGTCTCCATCCCTAAATGCCTCGGTCTTGTCTTGGTCTCGCATCAATCTGGTCTCTGGTATGTCTTGGTCTCAGTTACTGTGGTCTTCATTACAACACTAGAATCCACGACCTACATAGACTGAACTGAACCCCTGCTACAACTTCTGTGAAGTTTTTCTTACCTGTGTGTTTTCTTACCTGTGTGTCTCCCACCCCCCCTCCTGTGTCCCAGAGTGAGAAGTTGCTGCTGTTTGACACCGTGCAGAGTGAACTGGAGGAGAAAATAAGAAGACTGGAGGAAGACAGACACAGTATTGACATCACCTCAGGTAGCTACTTGTGCTGCAGCCAACAGTTATGTAATATGATATTGTTTTCATCCATTTATCCATCATAACACTTGTCCATCACCCCCCAGATACCATAGTATTCAGTTTATATTGATGGGAAACATAAAATCTCTAAGAACTGTCAATTGGTTAAAGCTTTGTGTTTCATTGAAGGTGCACTCACACTAGCAAAGTTGTCCCATACTGTGCTTAAGCACCATTTATTTATCAAGAATATATATTGACTTACATATTACAGAGTTGGCACTTGCAATTGTTAAAAAATAAAGGATACAAATTTTTGACAAAAATCCCACAGAAATGACTTTCATGTTCAAATCTCTCCTCTTTGTTTTCCAGAGTTGTGGAATGACGGGTTGCACTCGCGGAAAAACAAAAAGAAAGACCCGTTCTGCCCCGTCAAGAAGAAGAAGCCGGTTGTCGTTTCTGATATCCTTTTCCTTTTATCCTGTCCTTGTTTTTATTCATCATTCATCCACACACCACATCTTTTACTTTTTTCGCTCTTCAGTGGCAAATGAAGACAGATGTTTCCTGACACCTCCCTTTATACTTTTCCTTAACCCGCTTTATCACGGCCTTATATCGTTTACATGCTGCAAGATCTTGATATTCTTGAAGACTGGACTGCAATAAGAAAGGTATTTTGTAAACTCTGAGAGAAGTCACTTGAGGAATGTAACTGTGATTTGACCTTCTAAAGTTGAGTCTCTTTCCCCCTCACAGGCGATGGCGTCTCTTGGGCCACACAGGGTGAAGGTGGATGGTAAGCACCCTGTCCTCTGTTAAAAGTCAATATCTGGCTAAGTGGAGCCATCGACCCACAGCTGCACAGGAGGGCTCCATTCAATCCCTTCTGCTCATATTTGAAAAAGGAGACAGTTGCGTTCTCTGTAAACGTACACAGTCCCTGCCTCACTTGTCTTCCCTCACTCCTGCTTTTCCCCCCTCTGATGTCTCCCTCAGCTCCCGCAGTCAAACCTGACAGACATCACCATGTGGCTCGCTCTGAGGACGGTCGACTTTTCTATGACAACCAGTGGTACTGCAGAGGACAGGCCATCTGCATCAACAGGAAAGATGAGTACCCAACTAGGTCTGTACTGCCTGCGTGCGTGTGCGCATGCGTGCGTGCGTGTGTGTGTGCGTGTGCGTGTGTGTGTTAGGATTGCAAGTGCGTGTGTGACAGAGGAGGGTTTATTGTCTTTGTAATAATGAGAGGAAGTGATGGTGAAAACTCTAAATCAGGTGAGCACACGTGTTCTGACAACATTTTGAGTTCCTGTTATGTTAGTCTGACATGCAGTTGTCTCATCTTTTTTTTTTTTTAAACAGAGGAGATCTTCTGGTGACTTGTGGTTATGAGACACCTTTCTAAACTTAAAGTTAGTTTATCATTTTATTTGTGACCTAGTAACTCTGTATGTGTCACAAAGCTAAACCTGAAGACAAAGGGATCAGCTGCATTCAAGTCTTCAATTAAACACACAGTATTTCTCAGGGTGGAGGTTAAAGTGGTTCTCACTAAGAGGGACAACATGAAGTATGAATAAAATGCACAAAGGTTTTAAGAAAAATCTTACAGCTGTGCAAAGTGTCTTAATCTTAAGGAAGAACTTTAGTTCTACTCATGAAGTTTCATTTTCCTTGACCCTCAACAGTTTCAGTTTGATGGACAACAGATCTCTCTTGTTCCATTATTAAATATGTGTGTGTTGATCAAGGCTGGCCCATGGGGAGCAAAAATCAAACCTCGATATGTTTAAGCTGAATGTTGATACACAATAAATATACAAAAGATATTTTTCCTGTAAAGAAACAACAAAGACAAAGTCAGTTCTAAGTCAAATCCACATGAGCCAAATGTCACCCAAGCTTTGATTTACAGCCAGCTGCATAAGGTCAACATGCACATGAAAAATGACATAAAACAACAATAAATATAAAATATCTGTTTCCTGCATAAGAAAATACAAGAACTGTGTACTTTGTAATGCAGCTGGTATTTAAGTTCTGTTCAGGGAGGGAGAGAGGCGGAGCAGAGTGAAGAGGAAGTGAGATGAGAAACGGGCGAACTGGCGGCTCTACGGAAGAAACATACACGTGTTTTTTCATGCGACATAAACTGTATCCATATATATATATATATATATATATATCCTCCTCTCCTTTGAAAAAATATCAATAGATCTTAAAAACTCAACATCCCCCCCAACCCCAGAAGTGCATTTTTCTTTATTAACTATTACTTACTAAAAGTTGTCGTCTCCCACGTCTGACATCCACTCCCTCAGTTAGCTAAACATGGTGGCAGACATCAACACTTTTTAATTTCCCTGATTCCTATGACCTGAAAAATACAGCATAGACATGGTGAAACTTGATCTTTTTTTGTCACCTCGACAATGTTTAACAACACTGCCAGAGCAGTCAACATGATGCTGGTAATGGCTTTTCACACACAAAATATGTATTTAATCAAATCTAGTAAATCAAATCTCATCAGAAAGGAACAAAATGCTGCACTTCTTCAAATAGAATTAGAAAGTCCCTAAACCAAGGTTATAGTTGATCACACACCTGATCATATTCATAAGATGTAAATAAGTTCTTCCAGACAGTTGTGAACATTACAGGTTAAAAACTAAATGTATTAGGATTAACAATGCCCTCCTCTCCATGCCTTTAGGCTATTAAAGACAAACATTTGAATTTGATGTGGTTTGAGTTGTTCCAATGTGTATGTTTACCTTGTATGTTATGATTCATGCTAACTTCACCCTGTTAAGAGTAGAGGCTTACTGTCTTTACTGCACTCATGGTGGAGGAACCTCGGTCTTCAGCATTCAGGGATGTCTCATGTAAATGACTACTCTATGTCTGTGAGCACCAGGAGTTGATTCTATGGTAACTTTGTTGCACGTCTGTGTCATGCAGTGCCATCATCACCACCGTGAACAACGATGAGGTGTGGTTCAAACGTCTGGACGGCACCAAGTCAAAGCTGTACATCTCCCAGCTGCAGAAAGGCAAATACACAATCAAGCACTCGTAAAAAAAAAAAAAAAACTTCACGCAGACACAAACAGAAAAACAACCCTCATCTCTGCTGTGTTTCAATTTGTCTACTGTCATTGTGATATCCTTCAACCTACTTGCCATATGTACAGCCACACACACACAGAGAGAGGGGAATTGAGGAGTGTTTATAGTTACTAAAACAAACTATCGACTGACCCTTGTAGTCTAAGGGAATGATCATCTGTAAATATGTATGTATGTTGATATTCTTGACAAGGTCACAAAGTGTCATTTTCTCTGGACCGGAGATCAATGCAAAGTGCTGCTAAAGAAATCAAGGGGCGAAGAAATGGAGCCGTATCGAACTTTGAACAGTGGAGATGAGTTGCGTGCCTTTTTGAGATAAGATGAAGCCTCTGCTGATGGAGACGAGCGAGAGAGAAAAAAGAAAGAATGATAACGGTAAACTATTATTATCAATGCAGTGAAGCCTTACTCTGTACTGTGTTAGCTCTAAGAGGACTGAAGCGGGTCATTGAACAAGTGAGCGAGAGACCCTGATCCAGGTGAGGATGCTGTCAGCTGTGTGTTTGATTTTGCTCTCCAGCCGCATCAGTGAGATTTGAATTTCATGCTCCATAGAGCCTATTTAATCCGTATCAGGATCCCCAGCGACCCCAGTTAGAGGGAAAAACGTTTGATTTAGTTGAAACAAATTGCACAAGTGTCGATACAGGGATGCTGAATGATTAATCAATTTAGCAAACGTGGTTATGTTGTGAACATAGAAAGATAGAAATAGTCTTCCCTTTTCTTGAAGCCCAACTCGAGGTGCCACTTGACTAAATGAGCTCTTCATTTTTAAATGTAATTTTCACAGCTTTATGTTTGAAGTTCAAACTAAGGCCAGCTTTGGGCACTAAGCATTAGAAACTTGGAGACTGTGTTTAAGGAATACAGTGAAAGGAGGTGCCCTGTATATAGAATTTGTGTTTCGTCACTGTGATTCTTTCTCTTCCTCCGATCATGTTGCCATGTTTCTGCGAGTGCCTGAATGTAAAAATGTACAGGCGGATCCAGACATAACTTACTCTACTCCACAGTTGTGTTGGCTGCATCATTGCCTGTGGTGAGGGTCCTATAACAGCCTAAGAGTTGTTATTCATGGTGCCATTTTTATTTGTATTTCTGTCTAAATTAAGCCTATTTTGAGTGTTGACGTCCAGTGTTAATGTTAGCAAGTATCTTTTGTCACTTTTCCTTTTTGTTTGTTTGTGTCCTCCCCCCTCATAGCTGTCTCTTCTGTTCCCTATTCTCCTTTCGCTGCCTCTTAAGTGTTCCTCAACAATGACATACAAACAGTAAATTTAAGGATTTTTTTGTTGTGTGTACAATCCATCCAATCGAACTCTCCGTCTCTCTATTTTGTACTCGTTTCAATGCAGAGATTTTGTTTTGTGTTGTATTTACGGTGCTGAATATTTTTTTTATCATTGCATACATACTTGAGATATTACCTGCCAATAGTATTGTAAAATAAGAAAAAGAGGGCGGGGGGTGCAACACAAAAATCATAAACATGAAGTGTGTGTTAAGCCTGATGTGGCGCTCACTGAGTATAACGTCGTAGTTTGTTGCAAGTTTAGTTTTTTTTGTTTCTGCTACATTTCTACCTTTTTATGCACTATGGTACCTTTTTCCATATTACAGGTAAAAGGAAAATCATGTGACATTGTGCCAATGCATGCAGAGCTGATGATATATATTGTTTGTATCATTTGAAGGGATTCAAACCTGCACATAAACAATTCTTTATCCTTTATATGCAAAAGAGAGTCCTTACTTGATTGAAATGGTGATACCACTGTATTTAAAAAAGGCTTTCTGTCTGCATTTCTTGCAGCAAAAAAAAAGAAGAAGACTGTCAGTGCATTGATATGATTACAGTATCAATCTGCACAGCCCTGCTTAAGTCAAGCTAATTTTCTTTTCTTGGACCTTACAGCATTGGATGAAAAATATCAGGGCTTTGCACAGAACTTAAATTTACTTTAATTTTGGCAAAGCATGCACAAAAAGTCCAGATACAATCTTATATAATACTCCAGTGTACAATAGGAGAAAGACCCTGACAGTGCTTAACCCAAAGTCACCCCTGAGGTTTGCTGAACCCTAGCAGGATGTCTCCATGACAAAAAAGAAGTGGCTTATTTTGGGGAAAACATGCTGAGTTTGTCCTATTTGATAATGGCTCTTTGGCCTGCTGTGCTGTTCAACCTTTCATGCACTTATTTCTGCCAAAGGGACACTCACTAGATTAACGCCACATACTGGTATTGATTTAAGATCTATGCTGATGTACCATTTTCTTGCCCCCCTCTCGGCCCAAACTACCTCTGATCGGGCCTGTGCACACGCCTCATGCAGAACTGCTGCAACCTTTGATTGATCTATTGGAAATATTGATTGGATGCGGCAATGTAGCCAGGAATTTAAAGGAATCAATTGAAAGGCTAATTGGTTGAATTCCATCTTCAGATAAAGCCTTTTTCCCAAAATTAATATTTAAAGGAATAGTATTTTTCTTCTATTTAGCACTATATCAAAAATAGGAAGAATATGAAAGACAACGAATTTCTAAATGTCAAATTTCAATCAACCAGATAGAAGCTTCCCTGTTGCACTACCACTGTCTAGGCCACAAGGTGTCAGTGGTGCTCCACTGAGGAGAGGAAGCAGCCTCTGCACTGGATGGGAGGTGGGAGGTGGTCTGTGTATCTGGGGCACCCTGCTGCTGAAGCCCTCCAGCTGATGAGAGAGAGGGAGAGAGGAGGGATGAAGGCACAGTTTGATCACAGCTCACTGGCCACGTCTGCTACTGCAACAGAGAGAGGGAAAGAGGAAAATCCCCATCACCGCGTCAAAGGCAGCAGCAGCAGCAGCAGCAACAATCTGGATCTGTGTCCAAAGGATGTGGCCATCTTCAGCTCCATGTATACTTAATGAGTAACCAGAACTGGAGGGTCATTGGGACGTGTTTACTGCAACACTGGGGCTAATTAGACCGTGAAAGTGTCACACTGTACTAAATTACTTATAGCCCTGACCATCCATGTGATGCATGTATGTACAATTTGCATAGCTATGCATTTTCAAGAGTAAAACCGTGTATGCGTTGCCCCTTTGTGCATACATGCATGTTGCTGTTGCCGAGCCGATGCGTGGGCGGGAACCTTTGATGTTGATTGTATAAGAGTATGTTGGATGCATAGATCTGTAAGTTAACATCAAAGGGATGAACCAAGCAGCCTGTCATCAGCAGAGACCAAAACAAGGTGGATTCAGTTGGACTGTGCTGCAGCATGCGACCTGTGTTCTGATTGAGCCTGGTATCACCTCTGTTGCTGTGTCATTGCCAGTGGCCTATAATTCACCTAGAGCACTCAGGGTATAGCAGTTACAGTTACTGCATCAAATTGCTGATTCTTTCATGATTGTCTTCCTTTACAAAAAAACTTTGGGGAGAAAAAAATAATTCAGATCAGTCCTTTAGTGTAAGTAACAATTTATATTGTTGAGAACTAGGTGCCAAATATAAGACCATTATTACCATTCGGCCTGTCTGACTGAAAAGCTTTTTACAAGTTTCACAAGGTAGTGTTGTAGTACATGAAATTGTTCTTGGTCTCAAGACCAATTTTTGAAGGTTTCGTCTAGGAATATAACACATTTTTACTTGGTCTTGTCTCGGTCTTGGACTGGGAGGACTCCGGATTTTAAAACAAGACTGGTCAAGACCCCCACTGGTAAGCTATTTTCCCTCATCATTACCATGATGAGAAGGAAAAGGCCCTATCTAAAAACAAGTAATGACTTTAATTCATTCATAATTAGATTTTTGTCCTCCGATCACAGTTCAAACCTTCCCTGTATTACGGTCTAAGTGAGTAACATGCACACAAGATGTTGATTTTTCTGTGATTTTTAAGGTCTTTATCTTGTCTCGTTCTTGTCCTGCCTTGGCCTTGTCTGGGTCTCGCCCTAGGAGCACTCTGGTCTCGGTTTCTGTGGTCTTGACTACAACAAAGGGGAACCAAGTAGGGGGAAGAGAACCACACCTTATTTAAATGCTTTCACAATTTGTATTCTTGTAAATCTATTTAATTTGCATGTCACTTTCCAGCACAACAGTTTGTACTTTCCACACAATTGTTCCATTTGTCAATCAAAGATGATAAGTAGTGAGTTTTGGAAAACATAAATAAAGAAACTTTTCTCCCACAAGGTGACAATGTCTGAAAAAGAAAATGTCAAATTCAAGTTGACTAAAACAATGCAATCACTTAATAATGCATCCTAAAGGACAACATTTCAAATGTCTGGCAAATAGGTGCATTAGTCAACTTAAGCTGTACTTATGATTGAGAGTTACCAGGAGATGAGAACTCTAAATCCCACTCAAGGTTACCAAAGGTCTATCTTATATGGCATTGCAAGTTGCACAACACTTCACACGCTGTCCGTTACCATTACAACTTACGCAGAGATTTCTTCCTACTCATGAGTAGGCTTTTGCCAGCATCACATGTCTGCAGAGCCATCATTTCAATGACCTCCCAGCAGTTGTTCTTTATCCAGGGTCTTCACATGATGGAGCTCCATATTTGGTAAGGACCTTGAGCTGTTTGTAGCAGTTGACAGGACTTCCTTTGAAGCGCTGCATGCAACACATGCTCCTGCTTTGCTTCAGTACATGACCATAATGGCCCCCATCACTAGTTGTCCCAGGACTACCTTCTGTAAGGAGAACCATATGGAATAATACTGTGATCAAATCAGCAGTTTTAGTTTCCAACTTGGTCAGTTAAATGCGTATCAAACAAAAGGAAACATTCTTTTTCCACCTGTTTGACCCATTCAGAAACTGATTATGTGACTAAAAGACTGCCCAGAATAGCAGCTGTATCACTCCATACGCCAATGTGAGTATCTCAGGTTGGCAGGGCATAATTCCTTACAGCAGTTAGAAAGCAAGGTCTTGCTGGGGACCTCTGTGGTGATGGACTTTGACCAAGAGACCCTCAGAGCCAGGAAGAGGACTATTGGGAGTCAGTTTAAAGAATGCAGCACAACAGAGTGACGACAGCCTCGACTGTGATGCCTCAAAGCAAGATAATACACCCTTGAGGATGGATATGATTGCTCATGATACATAGTCAAAAGCCAATGTTTTGGATCCCCTCCATCTGATTCTTTGGCTGTCAGAGACTTAGACTGTAGGAAATAACTGTCAACCTCTTGGATTGAGCAACACGCATTTGATGTGATGAGCTATCCCTGCTAATGTACATTAGAAGTGTCATCCCTGGCAAATGGCATGTATGACACAGTACTCAGCTTTGGGAAGCTTCTTAAGTCTTGAATCCTAGTATGGATGGACACGACCAGCTAGGATGGATTCCACCACTGAAAGCGGAAAACCCTTTAACACATTTAGAAATTTTTGCGTCTAAAGCAAAATGGCTGCTCCATAGAATTGATGTGAGCTTAGCTAGAACACATACTAGTCATTTTTTCCCCTTTTTTTCCCCGTCACATTCAACTATTTTTGGTTGGTTTCAAGAGTATTTCTTTCAGACTCCCAACTTCTGAGTCAGCGACTGCATCTGCATCTCAAATAGAAGTTTCAAGCTTAGACCCATTAGGCAAGATCCTCTAGAGCTGCTATCTATCAAGATAACATTGCTGTGTGTGCTTTAAACAGGAAAGAGAATGCATTAGCTGTGTGCCCATTTGGTACCACCCAAACTGCATGTTTTGTCAAAGGGGCTTGAGAGAGAGAGTACCTTCAGACAGAACCTTCCCTTTCAGTTATCTAGTTTGACAATTTGCTTGGATACAGAGTGACTCAGTTTCTTCTGTGAACTCTGTCAGGTTTTGCATTATATAAATGTAGTTCTTTTCTTGTGGGATATTGTGGTTGGCAAGTAGCACACGGCTCACCAATTGCTGTAATGGGCTTTCTCAGAAAGACCCCTTTGGCTATTTTTGTACGCTCAACAAGGAGCTCTACAGCAGCCTTTCTCATAGGAACATCATTTGTATGTCAGCATCAAGGTGTAGGCCCCTCACTTTTTTAATTCCTTCAGATGTTTGAGCTGGTTTAAATGACCCACAAATGAAAACATGAGAAGCTGTCTGTCAAATTTTCATCTGCCCTTAAGTTTACCTTTGTTTTGTATGATATCCAGCAAATCCTGCAGCAAAGGCAGATAAGGTGCACCACTCAAGTTTCCTAAATTACAGCTCAGTTGGTGAAATGTATCTTTTAGAAGGACACTTTGCCCTCTTGCACTTTCCCAAAGGAGCTAGGCTTTCACCAGGTGAGTGCAGAAGAGAGCAAAATAAAAATGTTCCCCTGCAAAGATCCATTCCAACAAATGTCCAGGCTGTGTTTGAGGACTACTTTGCATAGAACGTGGTTAATAATGCTTATCAATCATTATGGCAATGAAACAAAAAAATTGGCAAAATGAGAAAAAAAGCAATCTCTTGGACAACAGATATTGTTGACATCTGTACAGATGTTTGAGCCTGGCCAATGATGAGACATTAAAGCTCTTGGAGTTCATTCTTTACGTATATCAGTTGTAAAAATTGGTATTCTGAATTTCTTCTTCAAGTCATTTTGATTTGATAGCTTGAAACTCTCAAACTCCAACCATCTGGCAGGCCTGTATGTGTCAGTTTTATTTATCTGACCAGACGAGGTGGCAGTATCACCTTCCACCTCCACACCCACTGTCCTCAGACACCATACAG